TTTTTTTAACAGAATCTTACGATTCTGGCTCCTTTTCCATTCTGGGGAGCATCAGTCCGGTTCCTATTCCCCCGGCAAGTCAGAAAAGATTACAAGGTATTACACACTCACGCTCCTCCCCCTTGTGGTGTGGAGGTCCGAAGGACGGCATTGATCACTTCCCGGAGGAAGGATGTACCACCCTTCACCCCTGCCTTTATATGTGTCATCCTTGCGCAGGGGCCATGCTAATCTTCTCTGTATCGTTCCAATTTTAACGGATGTCCTGAAGGACATTCGTAAGTATTTGCAAACATCCTGTGCAACGTCTATGATGGTCAGGACTTTAGTCTTCAGTGAACCCTGACTCCCTTGGTCTTGACTTGCAGGAGACTTCTGGATCCACACCCACTCTCTCGGATTTAGGTCGAGTTCTGCTATACCTTAGTCTGGATGGAAGATTTGTCAGGGTTTGTGTGTAGGCTGTTGAACTTTCCTCAGCAAGGATAAGCCCAAAGTTTCTCTTCCCGGATTTAGTTTAAGGAGTAAGCTGGCCTAGAACAGGGAAAGACACGAATCTGGCTTTATAGCTGTTTGCTGTTTGCCTGCTCTCAAAGTGATGGGCCCATTCAGGTTGAGGCTGAGAAATGAGGAGACCTGCGATTTACTGGTGAAGTCTTCCCTCAGTTGTTTGGTTCAGGATTGGGGAGTGCTCCTCTGCATGGCCGTGAGATTATCTTCGAGGGAGTGGCATCCTTTCACAGAGGTCTTCATTTCTTGTTCATTGCCCAGTTTGGTGCTCTCTGACCACAGGTGCCTACGTACGAACCTTGATATGTCCCCTACCGCCAGTTTCACTCCTGTACATGAGTCTAGGCCTATTTACTAAACCTACCCTTGTCCGAGATGCAGAGCCACAGAATGGTAAACAGAGTTAGCACACAGACACATACTTGGGACTTGCAGACTCTAAAAGTATGGCAAAACAGACTTGAACTTGGAGATCTCAGCAAAAAGATCTAAGGCAGAAACTTTCTCATAGAAATGCAGATCTTTCAGATTGAAAACTGTGTGGTTCATTATGGATGTGACCTTTTGGAGTTGGATTCATTACGAAATGCTTCCACAAACCCTTCATAATGGAGCAGTGGCCTTGTTGCAATATTTCCCCTGTGGCAACTGATTGTTGCACAGTTTGTTCAATATTGTAAACTACTGTTTGTTCGACCTTGATGGAAGGAAGTGTGGGTGCGTCATTTGGCTTATTTTCTACAACTCACCGCAAGAAAGTGAGCCGGACTGGTGCTCCCGAGAATGGAGATGGAGCCAGGACTGCCTGACCTGGTTTCATCCCAGCTCACTTTGCGTTGTGGTATGTGTTGTGATTTGAGATCAGCAGGTTGCGGGTTCGATCCTTGGAGTGAGCGATTTCCTTTGATTCAGCAATTTGGATTGGAGCTTGGAAGGCTATGAATGAAAATGAACTTTCATGCAGCTTGCCTGGGCGATTATACCCGGGTTGATTGGCATGCAAACCCCTTGGGCTTAGCTCAAGGGGGAACCATTTGGCAGGAGTTGAGTCTGGGTACACTGGGTTCATGGTACTAAGTTACTAACCATGCTTTGGTGGGCTGAAGTTCGCATCAATGGGCTTTAGTTGCATCCCAGCCGACTTTGCCTTGAGGTATGTGTTGTGATTTGCGATCAGCAGGTTGCGGGTTTGATTCTGGAGTGGGCGATTTCATTTTCTGCGATTTGGATTGGAGTTAGGAAGGCTATGAATGAGCATTCCTGCAGCATGCCTTGATAACCATGTTGGTCGGCATGCAAACCCCTTGGGCTTAGCTCAAGGGGGAACCATTTGGCAGGAGTAGAGTCTGGGTACACTGGGTTCATGGTACTAAGTTACTAACCATGCTTTGGTGGGCTGAAGTTCGCATCAATGGGCTTTAGCTGCATCCCAGCCGACTTTGCCTTGAGGTATGTGTTGTGATTTGCGATCAGCAGGTTGCGGGTTTGATTCTGGAACCATGTTGGTCGGCATGCAAACCCCTTGGGCTTAGCTCAAGGGGCCATGTGGCTGGAGTTGAGTCTGGTACACTGGGTTCATGTTACTAACCACGCTGCAGTGTAAGCTGAAGTTCTGTCAACGGGCTTCAGTTTCATCCTAGCTCACTTGCCTTGTGGTATGTATTCTGCTTTGAGATCAGCAGGTTGCAGGTTCGATTCCTGGGGCAATTCAGCAATTTGGATTGGAGCTTGGAAGGCTATGAATGAAAATGGTTTCTTGTTTTTTTTTTGTGTGTGTGTGACTCTCTGGTTATTTGAAGCCCTGGAGTGCTCTGAGGTTGTCATCCAGCAAGCTTTTGAATGATATAGATATCTGACTCACGATGCGGTGCCTATTCTTTTGTTGTACAAATATATGCGTGCACAGGTACACAAGCTGGAATCCCTTACCAGTAAGGGTCTTGGAGATCTTTGCAAGCATGTACTTTGTTGTGGACTATTTACTCAAAGTCTATAGGTAATTTACTAATTTCATTTCGATTTTCAGGGGTACAACATATTCTTCTCATTTGTGATTCTAGAAGTTTTTCCCAGAAACTGAGGCCCTGTCCAGCTTTTCTGTTTTTATTGTCACTTCCAGTATTAGCAGGTGCACTTTTTTTGTTCGTTCGGGATTACTTGCATGCGTTCTTGATGTTTGTGCTTTGTGGTTAGTCTGCTGTTTGCCAATAATAGCAGAGCAACTGGAAATCATGCAATCAGACTCGGATTATTCACACTTGTCTTGCATGCAAACAGCGATACAGCAAACTGGCGACCTGYGCCCACACAGTACTCAAAGATATCGTAACCGGATAAGAGTTCTCTTCAACTGGCTATGGCGGCTCTGCGCCCACACAACTCACTGTTCGCACTCTGG